GCGGGCCGGGAGGCGAGGCCCGGCCCTGCCCAGCCCGCCGGCTCCCCCCAGGCTCCGCCGCAGCAGCACTCGGGTCGCCATCTTGCTCCGGCCTCTCAGTCCAGCGCGCCCCGGCCTGGGCGAAGGAGACGAGCCTGCAGTACCCGCCGGGGGCCACCAGGGGGCCTGGCACTGCGAGAGGGAGCAGCCCCCTCCCACCCTCCGACCCGACTCTTAACCCCTTGGCTGCCGGGCTCGGCCCCCGCGTGCCTGCGGGTCCAGCCCACATCCCACGAGCCAGGCACCTGCGCCGTCAGGCGGCGGAGGGGAGCCCCATTTGCACCTGCACATCTCTTAAAACCTATTTTAACCCACCCACTGCAAGTCCCTGGAGGCTGATGCCACTGCCTGTCTTCCTCTCTTGGGGATAAAGCTACCAGTGTGTGTCTCTCTCTCCCCCTCACAGGGTAATAATTCTGTGTCCTCATCAACGTGTCAGGGAAGAAATATTTACCTGCATAGAGACCCAGGGCTGTCGTCAGCTCTGCCACTACTAGCTGCCAGCCTTGGCAAGCCCTTTCACCTTTCTTTGCTAGTTTTCTCCTCTGTAAAATAAGGGCAATACTTTGCCTATGCTCAACTGCTTATGTGTTTGTAATCACAGGGCCTAAGGTTTTACATGCTATCATTGGTTACCATGGTCTCTAGTCTGTAAGACAAAAAACACAACTGTGTGTACTATGAAAGCTTACAGTGTAATTGTTGGCTGCTCTTTACACTGTTGTTCCTTTCATGGAATGTGTGAGAACTCTGAACATGAAATATGTGTACATCTATCTGTAACTTGTTACCACTCCAACAACTTACTAGATATTAGAATGCTTTTTTTAACCTGGTGTGCTCCTGTTGGAAACCCTGTAGGTGCAGATATTAACATACAAACTTGTTCCAGTAATATACTGAAGTAACCAGCAAAACTCTCTGTCATTTTCAGTGATCAAAACAATATTGGTTTGACTTGGTAGTCAATGACAATTTCTTTTTTTTCCTCCTGGAGAAGAGAACCAGAATTGAAACATATCTTCAGTGTGAAGTTAAGACATCTGTATAAGATGATTTGGAATTAACACCCGCTGCAGACACACACATACAAACTTGAATACAAAGAGAATGTATTCCTTGCAGGGAAGGAAAGCAAATAAATTAAGACAGGCAGGACTTTGTGCCTCTTTCTATTCTAGCACAGGTGGTTAAATAATTTCATATTCCTGAGGAGGAGCTGTTCCCAAGTCTTGCTTTATCAGTAGCACCTCATCCACAGAGACTGATTCTCTAGAAGTTCAGGCTGGAATCCTAACCCTGCAAAGTGATGAGTGCAGGTACTCTCATATACTCATTTGAAGAGTCAGTGAGTGATGGAACAGATTCCTTCCCCCAACTCTGGGCCTGACTTCTATGCAAGAGCAATACAAGTGTGTCATATGTGGTCTTACGCTATCCCTTGCACAACATGTGTTTTGGGGATGGGAGAGGATGTCACAAGCACCGGACCTACTCTAAATTTATGCAGTGCTATAGTGGCAGCTGCCCAGAATCCAGGCAACAAAGGCAAGTGTAATCCTTAACTACTCTGAACTACATACTTTTTGCTATAACTTTTGGAGACTCCGTTCTTGCATCTCTTTGCAGGATTTCCCTAATTACATTTTCTTAAGAAATTAATATTCCAGACAACTTTACTTCAACTCTTTTGCATTACATCATGGGATTTTTCTAATATTCATGTTTTTAAATTTGTCCTATTTGCAGAACAATACTTAGACACAGTAAAACAGATATATCCTAATGTTTGTGCTGGACACACAGCTTCATAAGGGAAAATGTAGATATCTGAATTGAGAAGAATCGCATCCCCTTCTCAAACATGGATTTTACCCCATCTATTATTTAAGAGCTCTCATAAAAGTGAATAATAAAAAAAAAAAAACTTTCATTTCCTTCCCATTCCTCTTTGACCTCATGGGATGCTGGATTATGTCCCTTCAGACTTTGCCAAGCTATGCCACTGTTTCACTGTAGCCATGTGTCAGTTTCACATGGGAACCCTTCCTTTAGCATGGCTTGTGATAAAAGCAGATAAAAGTTTATAACAGGTGGCTTAAATGCACATAGATTCTATTACATTACACACAAGGTTTATGAAATGTTCTAGTAGGCTTACTGTTAGTCTAGTATCACAAATATTAAAATGAAATATCATGCATAAACAGCTGCCTATAGAATTTCTACACACTTTTTAAAAACACTTTTTAATTTGTTATTTTAAATATAAGGCTATGAACCACAGCAGATTTAGGTTCAGAATTCAGACAGTCAAACAGGAGGGAAAAAAAACATGCTCCCACAAATATTAAACATATATAGATTTATCCTCTTAAACATTTTAATAAAGAACAATTTTAGCCACGGTAAGTCTGTATCTGCAAAAACAACTGAGTCCTGTGGCACCTTACAGACTAACTCCAATATGTAAAATCTTTAACTCCATTCCAGTTTATCTGATGAAGTGGGTTTTACCCATGAAATCTTATGCCCTAATAAATATGTCCAAGGTGCTATAGGACTCTTCATTATTCTTAATTTTGTGATTAAGGTGGCAATTTTGACATTCTTGCTAAAACTGGGGCAAAACTGTGTGTTAAGAAAAAGAAAAAAAACCCCACCACTACCATAGGGCTTAATGTGGAGAAAATTCAAAACATAGTTATTTCTAATTGATAATTTCCCACAATATTAAAATAGCTATATCATTTCAATGGTGGAAGTAATACAGTTTATTGTTTCTAAGAAATTCATAGAAAGATTTTACAGAGAGACAGTGGGCCACAACCAATCCCTCATGTAAAGATGAAAGTTAAAGCCCTTAGTTTACTGGTCTCTTCCCACCCTTCATTTCTCTGTTGAGGAAACATTTAGCTCTTGAAGTTTTTCACTTAGATAGGTGGTATCTGCCTCAGTTAGACTTTCTGAATCTGTTAGACTTTCCAGGAACCTAGTTCCTGCACAGGCCTTTCCAGTCACTGGGTCTATGACATTTCCAACCTTGAAAACAATCTCAGCCAGTTCATGTTTCACATTTTTGGTCCTCCGCTCAGGCAAAGCTTTTAGAAGAACAATGTCTCCGACTGCACACTGCTGCAATGGATCATGAGCGAAATAAGTTTTTCGCTTGTTAAAGAACTGTTGGAGAAAAGGAAATCCAGGCATTAAGACTCAAAAGTAAGATGACCATTTTGCTTTTGAACTTAAGTTGATTGAATTGAAGGTTTCACTATCAAAGCCAATAGATCTGCATAGCTGAGCTCACTGAGTTTTTTCCCAAGCAAAGCCATTGGTAAATGTATATGGTATACCTGAAGAACTGGGCAAATGTGACATTAGCCCTTCTTCATCCAAGATAGGACTTTTGTCCTAAGTCAGATCAAGGCAAGTTGGGGCCAGTTCTTTATAGCTACCTTAACAACTTTGATTATTCACTAACCCTGATTTAGTACTACTTTTGAGTGCTAGTTACCACTGTTTTATCATCTCAGTCCCTTGCATGCATTACATTCAGCAAAATGACTGTCAAGGCTCTTCCAAATCTCTTAATCATTTGCACAAACTGTAGAAGGGAAGAGCTCAGGAAATTACAGGAAGCCTTCACCATTCACAGTAGGAATGTAAGCGAGTAGTCAACTAGTCTACTAATAATGTAATGTAACAATGTAGTTGATTAACCAATTAACCAATAAACAAAAGCTTATAGGTTAATGGTATAGACTACACACACTTCCCCCACCCCCACATTGCCAGTACATTTTTTAGCAGGCTGGCAAATAGCTTGGCTCAGTCATGAACTCTTATGGGTTATTTGACTTTTCTAGGCTATTTTAGGCTTATCAGTTAGTTTAGTCAACACTCACATCCCTTCCCCCCCCCCTCACTGCCTCAGTATCAAAGGCAGCAAGTGGGGGAAGCAGGAGCTGGTGCTGGGAGAAGCCAACTTAAAAGCAGTCCCTGTCCATCGTGGCCCAGGCTGGCTGCAGACAGAAGCTGCTCTGACAGCAGCCCCTGTCCCCTTGAACCTCTGCCTGGCTCAGTCCTGGCTTGTGCTGGGTCCAGGACCTACCATGAAGAGGGGGTAGGTCCCAGACCCGGCACAAGCAAGGCTGTCTTGCCTTACTGACTAATCAAGTAGTCAATAGAATTTTTATCAACTACTTGATTAGCCAATTAACCATATCTTAACACCCCTAATTCACAGGGGATATGTTCTTAAAATCACAGCGAATGGCAAACATGTGAATACCAGAGGGAAGTTCATGACACAAAATAATCACAATTTCCACATAAAACAATAATAATGAATTAATGAACACATGTAATATCTAAAATTTCCTAGTACCGTATCACTGCAACTTTCATTTCCCTTTTAACTTTCAGGCTCCTTTACTAGAGTGCACTGAAGAAGCGTCATCACACTGCATCATGTGCTAGCGCTGGTGCGGTACAGTGCACCCTGAATATGCAAAACCACAGATAGCAAAATCCTAAATGGTGAAGGCTTCCTGTATGTAAGGCTATGTCTAGACTGCAGTTTTTCTGGGATACCTCTGGTATCCCAGAAATGCTCAGCCGTGTCCAGGGAACGCATCTGCTTTTTTGGAACAGTTTCCGAAAAAGCGGGTGCATTCTTTTGGCATCCCTATATTCCTCTTGGTGAGAGGAATAAGGGATGTTCCAAAAGAGGACTTTTTTCCTAAATTTGGCCCCATGTAGACAGGCCAAATTTCAGAAAAGCCCCTTCCAAAAAAAAGAGATACACCAATTGCAGTTCACAATGTGCGTATCTTTTCCCAATAAAACTCTGCTGTCTAGATAAAGCTTAAGTCTCATCCTTCCCAATACACAGAAGTCCTACCACTGTGGTATTAGTGTTGCACCAATATCTTCCATATGAGCACATTTATCTTATAAAATGCAGAACTGAATAAAATCCTGACTCTAGTCTTTAATAATAACTGAGGGAGGCTTATCTTACAGTGAGATTATTGTATCACTGACTGATATTCAACTGATACAGTGATTCAAATGCTAAAGAATATTTCTGCAATTAATTATTCAAAGTGACCAGGAAAACGATATAGTAGGCAATTATTTGACTATAGTTATAAAAAAAAATCTTATTTTATAACTTCCACCTTTTAAAATGGAGCAAAAGCCCAGAAACTTATAAATATTTTAAAAAGACTTTTCAAATTCATAGCACAAAATCAGCAGTCCATCTACCCAACTCAGATCAAAATGTGTGTTAAGCAGAATAACTGAAGGAAATACATTTAATAGATAATTTGACATGTCAGATTTTATGTTCTAACACTGTTTTTTACTCTTGTAATCATAGTTCATCAATGGTTATTAATTATCTGACAATGTAAACAATTTACAATGTATTTCAGAGAGTCAATATATATTCCAATAGTGTATACGAAAATGATCTTGCAAGATATTACCTTTAATAAATAAGGATCCAGAACAAGCCTTGTCACTCTCACTTTAGCAGTTTTATGCATTTTGGTTCCTATTACTTTTCCTACTATCCATTTTGCATGAACAGCTCCACGTAGTCCAGACATTGTTTTGCTATGGTCATCCAGAGTCTGGAAAGAAAGCTGCAGTGTTTTAAAAAAAAAAAAAAAAAAAAAAAAAAGAAAGTGGTTTCTGATCAGTGCCAAAATGAAAATCTGCTCCTAACCCAAGGGATCTGTTAAACTTTTAACAACAGTAGTGAGTTTCCCGCATTCTCTTTCCTCACTCTTGTATCAGAACCTACAAGAAAGATATGTGAAGGTAGATCAGACTCTACATCCAATGCTGAATACACAATTGAAGCAATGATTTCAGGGACATGGACTCAGACCTCTTGTCCACTGAAGAGTGAACTGCACCTAATTCATTTTGTATGTCCCAAATAGTTATCCGATTAAAATACCAGATCTAAATTCATAACATGGAGATGACCTAACCAATGCCAAATTTCTGTTGTCTTACTATAATGTTTGGTAAAATTGTAACAGAATGATGTAGAACAGTGGAAGAGCACAACTTCCCCCGCCCCTTCCTTCCCCAAAAAACCAAACCCCAGCTACATAAAATATTTCAGTTTTAGGGATGATAATTACAATGAACATATATGTACAATATTTTAAGTCAGACACTGACACTTGAAAAAGAGGTCATGATATTTTCAAGATGTACTAGGGTTAATTAAGTTAATGATTTTTTTCTCACATCTGATGTTTTCTACAAGATGACGAATTTACAATTAACTCCGCTGTGCAAATAAGTGTGAGAATATCTTTCCTGTTAGACAAGACTGGTGTGAATTTCTTTGCAGTTGCACATTACCCTGATAAGCACTAAAGGAAAACTAAGGTTTCAAAAATAAACTAGAGCTATTTAAAAAACTGTTAGTGCAGTTAGGGATGTGAACATGTATCTGAATAACCTGGGCTCACCAGTTAATCCTCTCAGTTACATGAAGCACCTCCTCACAACCTGCTGCCTTTGTATCTAAGGCAGTGGAGGGGAGGAGGAGCTGGTGTTCAAGGGGAGCTATCTCCCTGCGCTGCTGCCTCTGAAACAGAGGCAGCAGCAAAGGTGTGTGTGCATGAGCATGCAGGCATGTCCCTAAGAGCACTAGCTCCCATACCCCTCCCCCCACACTTCTCCTTGAAATACAGAAGTTTTTTTGAAAAATTAAGTGGTTACACATTTACACAAACACATTTTAACATCCCTAATTTCAGTAAATATCTATTCCTTTTGTCCAAGTGCATTTTGGTAAAGACAGTCATCAACATTAAAAGACTTCTTCTCAATCAGGCATACTGTTTTGCTAGTTATTTCCCACTATGCAACAAAAGCAGAAGTATATACATGTATCAAGGTGGCATATACTGTCTACAGTACTAGAAAAGTAAATAATACATTTAAAGAAATACATACAGCAATGGAGAAATATATATCTGAAGTCCCAAGCCTAAAGAGTGAGCTAATATGACATTTTCCTTGTCAGAGATCTTGGCAAATTCCAACTTCAAACAATTAATGTGACAGAGAGAAAATAACACAGATCTTTTCTGACACACACCTTTTTTGCAATGTTAGGCTTGGCTCAAGAACCCCTCCAAAACCCAGAGATACTTCTCTCTGTATTTTTACTATGATCTCCACATACCTATAATATTAAAGTTAAAAAAAAACATATTTCAGCAGAGAAGTCACAATTAATTGCTCCTGTAATGCTAAAAACATTATTTGCCATATCTTCGTTTTACAGTCACATGCAATACAAATATGAATTCTCCCTTGCATGGTCCAGTGTCTGGAGCATTAGAATGATGAGGGTCAGGATTCTTGGGTGTTGTGGGAAAATAGGGAACAAATCATTTTATGTGACTAGCTCACTGCAGCTCATGATACAGGGATGTGGTGAGAGTTGAATCACGAGCGTTTATTAGGCATCAGGGATGCTGCTGGGAGAGAAAACGCTGCAGGCAGGCCGGCCCAGGTCCTTACAAGTACTCAGGCCCCTAACTCTCACTGACTCCAGAGTGAGTCAACACACCAGCTTCTTCAGGATCTGGGCCCAGCTAGGAAGTATTTAGGGAGAAAACGAACAAGCCCAGGCAGCGAGAGGGGACCGGTCCTGAGAGGGCCCCAGAGCCCCCGCCCCCCAAGCACCCTCCCCCCACAGTCACCACA